AGCGTCTGGTGATAGACCCACTGGTGATCTGCTCCCCGGAGAATTAAAGGGAGAATCAAAACGCAGAATATCCTGCCCCGCATGCATAGTAGTAGGAGTGCTGCCCCCGCTGCTGCTGCTGCTGCTGCTGCTGCTGCCCCCCCCGCTGCTGCTGCTGCTGCTGCTGCTGCTGCTGTTTGTTTCTGTTGCTTTCTCCCAGGGTCTTTCTTCTCTCTCCGTCATTTTTTTTTCTAAGTGAAGGAGAGAGCGCAGCAGCTTGCGTTGCTGCGTGGCCATACCAAAGACAGCAGCAACAGACCTCGATAATAAAGCTTCTGCTGCTTCCTCAACCCCCAATACAAGAACAACAACCCCAGGGGGTAAAACACTAACCACCGTATGCTGCAGGTGCTGCTCCAGCACCCCCACCCTTTTCTCGTTGCTGTCAGGTAGCTTCTCTAGCACCTCATGTAGCTCCTCTAGGGATGTCATTCCCTCTTTGTTTTGTATAACCATCCACAGCCTAGCTGCACCTACAGCGCATGTAGGCCTAACCCTATATGGTAGTCTAGCTCTGGGGCTTATATACTCAAACAAAACCCTAGCATCAGCGAGGTGTATAATACCTTTATGTAGAGCTCTTAATACATGACTAGCTGATGAAAAAGATATAAATCGAGCTTGTATAGATATTTTATATTCNGTAGAGCTCTTAATACATGACTAGCTGATGAAAAAGATATAAATCGAGCTTGTATAGATATTTTATATTCTGCTTCTATTATACTTATAACCTCTATTGTTGCTCTCTGTGCATACAATACCTCAGCACTAGCTAGAGCTGCCTGGCCGTCAGCGGCCATACCCACTAACATTACTCCTGTTCTTAATATATCCATCAACGCATCATCCTGTGGTATTCTATGTATAGGGGGAAAACTGCGAGCTACAGAGCCAGGGACAGTCCCCCCACAATCAAAGAAAGGTACTAAGTTTACTTCTTGTAGATCCTCTATTATACTATCTAATACACCACCATGTACTAGCTGAACCACTGCTGCATTGTATGCATCATGTAAAGCTCTTGTGCGTATATATCGTCGACCAGCAGCAACCACAGGCTCCATATTATCTATCTTTAGGCCCTCATACATCTCTGGCTCACCCACAGGTGTAGAGGGTTCAGTCACCCAGGGCCCCGGTGTTGCTGGGTGTGAATCTTCGTTATCTAATAGGGGGCCCCCAAGGGGCCCCTCTACCCCTAGACCACTAGGGTCCCAATGGGGGCCCCTTCTCCCGCTGCTGCTACCACCGA